AACGGATTTGGATAATTTTGGTACGAGCGAACTCGTGAGTGAATGGGTGTTCATAATTTGTGACTTTTACCCGATTCTGAGACGTGGGCCCGGGGAGGCTTTTTGGGCATTTTTCTATTTTCTTGCCTTAGCTTTGATTTCATTAGCGAAATTAGTTGCTTGTAGCTATATTTACGTTATATAATTGATTTGGCTAGATTTGGGCCATCCATAGCCGGATATTCGTGGAAAGAGCATTGTGACGGATTGATTTAGCTTGGTTCGAGGTAAGTGGCTTGCCTAATCTTGTATGGGGAACTCATTTCAGGATTTTGGTACTGTTTGATATATGAGCGTCTTGTACGTGAGGTGACGAGTACGTACACGGGCTATTTGTTGTAAAACTCCATTTTTCACTAAGTTTTACCTGTTTTCCTTATTGAAACTACACTAGCATATGTAATTACTTTGTTTAGATTCGAAAAGCATGCCTACGTGTTTTAACTGTCTATTTGAACTTTGTGCAGCATGTTTAGTGAAATTTCCCGTTTTTCCTTGATGTGAATTTAGTCTAAACTGTAGGTTTCCTTGTTGAAACTATTGTTTATATTGGTTGATCTGCATATTTACTTTGGGACTACGGAACGGTATTCAGGAAGATCCCCATGTACTGCATATTTACTTTGGAACTACGGAACGATGTTCCGGGAGATTCCCGAGCACTGCATATTTGCTTTGGGACTACAGAACGGTATTCCAGGAGATCCCCCTGCACATTTACGTTTGGGACTACGGGGCGGTATCCCGGGAGATCCCTTCTTGCTATTACTGTGTTCTGAGCTGTTGGCTTCCATTGAGTTCTATTCCTGTTACATTTCCGTACTTATTTTACTATAATATCCTTTCTATCTTATTTCATTATATTTATACCGGTAGGGCCCTGACCTGATCTCGTCACTACTCGACCGAGGTTAGGCTTGGCACTTACTGGGTACTGTTGTGGTGTACTCATGCCCTTTCCCGCACATGTTTTTCGTGTGCAGATCCAGGTACCGCTTATCAGCCACATTTCCAGTGAGGCGAGCCAGCTGTAGAGACTTCAAGGTATATCTGTCGCGTCCGCAGACCTCAAAGTCTATATCTATTCCACCCCATGTCAAACACTTCTTGTATTTTCTTCTTTTATTAGACTCTGGAGTATGGGAGTACTGTTTCTTTCTTTAGCTTATGACTTATGAAATTCCGGGTTTTGGGAGAGTTTATGTATTGTTCGAAAGTGATTATTGTATATGCCGAGCGGCATCTCATTCCTCTGTTTAAATTTACCTGATAGTTGATAGCTGTTATGTTTTTCGTTTTTTTTCCCGCAAATGTTAGGCTTACCTAGTCGTAGAGACTAGGTGCCGTCACGACGGTTCACGGAGGGAGAACTTGGGTTGTGACACCTATATTGTTGATAATGCTATCCCCAAGCCTGACCACCTTGTCTCTGACCTCCATAGTTGCCCACATAGTTCATATTCTCTTGATAGTTCTGATTTCACTCTCACCACTCCACGAGCACACATATGATTGATTAATGCATGGTGTGCATAACCCTCGATTTGTTGTGTCCACTATGTGCACCTACTTTTGGCTCGATTCATCAATCTGTTTAGTGAGGATACTCATTTGCATCATCAGAGTGGCCATATTCTCAGCTATAGAGTTGTTTGGGTCTAGAGCTACTGAGTGAACTACATGAGTGATTGTAGAGTCTCTTGTCATCCATCCTGAGTTTTGAGCCATTTTATCAAGTAAGACCTTATACTTTCTGAATGATTTGCTCAAAAATGCTCCACTTGTTGAAGCATCAACATTGGCCTTCAAGCCGTCTGCCAATCCCATGTAGAACCTTTGATCAGGAATGCCATGGTGTGGACACTGGACCAATATCCCCTTGAACCTCTCCCACGTTTCTTGCAGTGTTTCAGCTGATTTTTGCCTGAAGCTTAATATCTCATCAACTTGCTTGGCAGTCTTATTGGGTGGGTAGAATTTGTTCAAAAACTGCTTGACTAATTCCTCCGAAATAGTGATGGAGTTTATGGGGAGCGAATTAAGCCAAGTCCTAGCCTCTCCCATCACTGAGAAAGAAAATAAAAACAGTCTTATTGCTTCCGGTGTCTCATTCGGTTGCCTTTGCGTGACACAAATCGACAGGAAATTTTTCAGATGCTGATGTGGATCTTCAATGTAAGACCCCGAGAATAGTCCCTTGTTCTACAACAAATGTAGCAGGTTGTTTGTAATTTGAAATGATTTTTCTTGTACCGGAGGAACTGCAATTGCGGTTGCCAGGTTTTCAGTTGTGGGTTGCGCCCAATCATACAAGGCGGATTCTTGCACAAGAGGTGCCACACCCTGATTGTTCGGGTCATTCATATTGTTTCTGTTGTTTGGGTTGTCTATTACGTCACCCATGTATAGTTCGATTCGTTCTATTAGTTCTGTTGTCGTTTGTCTTTCTTGTTTGCTCGATTTAGTGCCTTGAAAGCTTTCTCAGGGTCCGGTAGTGCTTCATACAATTCACCAGTTCTTGAAGAGTTTCTAGGCATGCACCTGTAACACACAAGACTACAAACATTAGAGTTTCAATATAATGAATTTCAAGTCGAGAAAGCTGACTAAACTAAGAATTCTAACAATTCTTTTAGCCGTAATTAATAACACCGTTAATTCTCCGGCAACGGCGTCAAAATTTGATCACGCCCAACTATGCCTTATAAAAAGGACTAAGCAGTTGCTGCAAATATAATCCGGTTTACAAGTCGGGAGTCGAATCCCATAGGGAATTAACCTACTAATTACAACCACTAGTTTCACACGAATTCAAATAATCAACCTTCAGAAATATTCAATAACGATTTGAATGTTTAATTACTATGAGCAAAGTAATTAAAATGCAGTAATTTATAATTAACAGAGCAAATGTTGTGGACAAGATTTAATAAGTCTAGGGTTATGATTTTTCCTATTGTCAGAATCTCCCCCGCCACGTTTCCTATAAATTTCCCTAAGTATTCTCTACCGATCGTGAGTACTTTGGATGTCGTAGCTCTCTCTCAAGCAACTACCACAATTTACTAGACGTATTCTCTCGAACTACGCTAGCTGACACTAATTCGCCGCTCACTACGATTGCACCAAGGTTTCGTTATCTCTAATCCCGCCTTTAAAACTCTCCGTATTGATCTCTCAAATACGTTAGGAGTGGTGTTGTTCAACAACTACCTAAATGTGTACTCTCTCTCTCTCAACCAATATACACACTAAATAGGCACGGTTAATTAAGAGTTCTTCAATCAACAACAACGAAAATATAGTTGAACAAGTAGAGAAAGATCAACGACAAATTTATATTAAACGTAGTGAAAAATCATCTTTTAATAGGTTTCATCAGACCCTAGATGAGAGAGTTTAGCTACTCATAAATGTATCGACAATCTTCATGATGTTCAAAGACATTAAACTACAAAGTAAAGAGATAAACGGAGGGAAAATTCATTTTTTATTGCTCACCAGTGCTCTATCGCCTTTTTCTTCTCCAAAATAGTGTCCAACCCTTTCTCAACTCGTTTGGGGAGTATTTATATGTTATGGCCGAAATCCCATAGTCCAAATGCGGGTTGGAGTCTTTTAACCCGCAACTTTTAATCACCGGACTATATACCTCGCGAGGCCATGCTTATAGCGCGGTCAGCTTGGCTACAAAGCTGGCTACGCCTGACCTGTAGCGCGGTCAAGCTGGCTATCGAGCTGGCTATACTTGGTCTGTAGCGCGGTAAAGCTGGCTATGCTTGGCTTGTAGCACGGCTTGGATACTTGGCAATTTTGTGCTCTTCTCTTGCATTTTCGTCCTCTTTTTGTGCAACTTTCATTCGACTCTTTCTTCCGATGCTCCTACACATAAAACAGCACAACTTAACTCAAATGTCGCACAATTAATCACTAAACCAACAAGATATAAGGCGAGTAATATACTAAAAATATAGCATTTTGGCCGAACATTCTTTACGTATTCTGACCTTGTATACTCATGCGGAGCTAGAAACTTATGCTCTAACAAAATTAAGGATTAAAAAAAATTAACGAACAGCTGCATCATTCTCCAAAATTTCCAAAATATTTCTGAATACTTAACGAGGCAATTTTTATTTACTTTCACAAAACTGCTAGGGTTTTACGCTAGAGTTACAACAATAGTGGAGTCAGCATCTCCACCGTTGTTAGTCCCTATTGTTTTGACGTCAGATGAGAAGCAGATATTCGACCGTCTTCTTCAAATTATCAACCATCTTAATCCTGGAACACAGCTTCGTGTTGCTAGGCTTAGAGTGCGACGACATCGATATTGCTCTAGACAACATGAGTGGAGAAGAAATGAAGATTTCTCTGTACACGTAAATAAGTACTTAACACACACAGGTAAAGACTCCTTATATTATAATGTGATCTAAGGAGTCTTCCTGGGGCTGTATTAAGTATTCCTTGCGTCAAAGTAGGCTGCCTACAACACATTCCTAGCGATGCGGTGCGGCTCTTGCGTCAAGTTAGGCTGGCTACAACACATTTCTTGCGGTGCGGCTCTTCCCTGGATTCTGCATGAACGCGAAATGCTTCATGCACCGAGCTGCCTTTATTTTGAACCATCAATTCCTGAGGGATGTGATAAGCTGTGTATTGCTTACTTGGAGGCTTTTAAACTTAATTTGGTTCATTTTCTGATGATCAAAAGAGACTATGCTTGTATGCTGCTTTATTTCTGCCATTCAGAAACTATAAAGAGGAAGAGGCAACACAAATTTATTTTCAAGTCATTCTTTTTTCTTTAGAAAATTGCATCTTTTTCTAACAGTTTATACCTTTTCTTAAGTATTCTATTTTGTACATTTGTTGTACATTTTCACCTAATATATCAAGTGCATCAAATAAACTTAGATACCTATAGAGTGGGAATCAGGGGAGGTATTGACAGCACCTTCAACTGAAAACAACTCTTCCAAACTTCTCATTAGCAGTCAGAAATACATCAGCCAGAAAAGCACACAATATTATAAAGATACACACAAATGTGAAGTAAAGGAAAAAAGAAGTACAAGCATCTCAAACAAAATCCTTGAAAAAAGAAAGGGGGGTTTGAGTAGGCATGAGCAAATAGTAAATTTACACGAAAAATAACTCTTTCTACATTTCTCTTCACAAATAAACAATGGTCCAGGGGCATGGCTTTGCTATGGAATTCCTAAGAGCAGATGACCAGCACTCAAAGAAAGCGCCAATCCATCATATGCCATCCGTTAGTTGTGTCGCTGAGGAACTTTACTCATCGCTGCCATTTCCTCTCTGAAAATACACATTTTAGACGTTAAAAAAAATTAAATATAAGAACTCCATAGAGCTCACAATTGGGGGGAAAAGCCAGCTCAAGATTCAAAGAATCTTGGTGAGCCAAAATATTCATCACAGAAAATTCCAGTGAATTATCATCCATTTGAACCTTAAAGCCTGTACCAACTGTCATGAATTCGCACGAAAAAGTTTTACGTATAAGAGGACCTTTAAAGGTAACTCAAAATGAATTGCCAAATCTAGGGAGACTCAAGCATGTTTCACAATCAATAATGTTGGTGTCTATGAAAGTATTAAGGCTAAGTCATATTAAAGAATATCATATAACAAAGAAGTAGAGTAGTTAGCCGAAACCAGAAAAAACAGAAGGTAAGATGAAGAATAAATGCAAGGTGATGAACATATGTGAGGAAAGATTTGATCTGCATAAACAGTGCTGGAATTGCAAGTTCAAGCAAGTAGTTGATACCATTTGTTAGTTGCTCAAACACTAAGGGGTCTTCTACTCATCCACATGAATATGTCACCACATGAGCATATTGTTAATAGTTTTCAGAAGAGTAGGATAATATTACTTGGTTTTATCCTTAAGGGAAGCAAGTAGGAAATGGTTGGAGGACGGGATTAATAGGTCCAAAATCGAGAAACTGCATCAATCCATGAGACACCCTTGCCAACTTACAACCCTCTCAACTCATACTGGTTTTCATGGCATTAGATAATAGCAATAACTTTTTATGACGATTAGATAAGCAATGAATGTATGAACATCTGAAGGTTTAGGAAATACCCTGTGGAGATTGAGTTCCATTTCCCTTTGCACCGTGCTGTGCATTAGACAAAGACCGCTGGATACGAGGTGAACCTTGCCTACCATTTGAACCGGGAAGTGAGTGTCTCTTTTTAATGAATTCATCTTTACTGTGGACATCTGGACTAGATCTCGGAGAGCTATTTGGGAGAGCTTTGGCTTTTGCAGATTCTGTTGCTTGCATGTAACTTGGGAGAGAACTGCTACTACCGCTATCTCTAGGCTCCTGCTGTTCAACTTGTCCAGCTTTTGCTGAACCGAAAGAATTCCGTCGCTTCCCATTTTTATGATCCTTAGGTAATTGTTCAGAACTAGCTGTACCTGAACCATGGATTGGTTTCGAAGGAGACTTTTTGCCAGCAGATGAGGAATGACGCTTGGGATTTGATCCACTTTTTTCACTTATGATCTTCTTAGGATTCACTGACACCTGACTAGAAGGTGTCCCTTGGGATTCAGGGACAGTTACATGGCTCCTTGGAGATGCGTCTGGTGACACTTCGTATAGCCGATCCACCTTAGCTTCTTGCTCTATTTGAACATTAACTGAATTGTTTTCTGGCTTCTCCTCGTGTGATAGATCTGAACTGACCATAACATCTTTAAGCTCACTGTTAGCATTATCGGTAGGATCCTCTGTCCCTGTCTGAACATAGGCGGAGTGCAATAAGTCATTTATACTATCGTCTCCAATGTGCGGATATCCGTTGCTCTTGTCATGGCCAGTTTGATCGTATGAAGGCTTTAGTTCCTGCTCAAATTCGCGAGCTCCAACTTCAGACCTATCTGGTGAGTCCAGGGTAGAAGAAATAGAAAGCTCGGTGCCACATTCAGAACCACCAACTTGAGCTCTTGTACTATGAGGAACAGAAGCTTCTGACATGGCAGTTTCCCTTGCCCCAAATGATTGATCAGTGATAGATGAAAATGTATCTTCACTGGATTCGTCTTCAGTCTTATGATTGGACAAACTAGATATTTTGGTTGATTTAGCTGCCGAAGTGAGTTCCTCAAACTTTGTCTGAGCAGCAATAAATGCAGGATTACTTGCCTTTCTTGATCCATGTACGACCTGTTTGCTCTCCGTCTCTGGAGGTTCAACAGTAAGGTAATGTGTATCCTCACTGTCAGCTTCAGTCTTAGCAGGGAAAGAATTGGTCTCTGACTCGGGGAGCAGCTCGGACTCCTTATATTGAGTAGGAATAGAACAGAAATTGTCATCTCTTGAATTTGTTTCATCAACATTCTGAGGCTGAGGAGGTACTGGTATGTCGGCTTGCACCTCTAAGCTATCTGCATCATAAGTGATCAAATGTTCGTCACTTTCCGACAGAGCCGCAGATAACGATACCTCGTCATCCTGTCTGAAGTCCATTGACTCAGAATCAAGCTGAACTTTACTTTCAATAATGTTGCTGGAGTGCTCAACACTACTTTCCTTCTCCTGCTGTTCTGCTGATAATTCTAATTGTGGTGACGGTTCATTTCCTGGTGATGAAACAGACATCCATCTCTCTAACCATTTCCAGGCTGAATCAGATTTGGAAGGATCACACTTAATATTAATACTTTTGGTCTTCGGAGTTGATTCAAGGAGCTTGCACCAAAGGATAAAATGACAAATCAGTTTGGACAGGAAATGATGCATATTTAACAAAATTGTCGCAAATTTTAGATCTCATAGTGGAAAATGACTATAATATATACCTGTTGAGCAAAGCTATTGCTTAGTAGCTTCGAAATAGAAGTGTATGTGACCTCTGATTTTGTTCCTGAGTTCTCCTTTCCCTTTCCCTGAAAGGACGAAACATCAGAGTGTGATTCATCAGTTAAAAAATTAGTCAAAAGGGCTTCTGCACAGAAACAACACCCAAAAGGTGGGAGGGAGAAGAGGGAAAAGAAAGAAATGTCTCAAATGATAGGTACAGAGTGCCTCAGAGTCAAATCTAGGATTCAAAAGCGAGCTGACCAAAAACCTTCAGATTTACGCTTGAGCAAGAAATATTACCAATATAGTATCAAGCTCTTCATCTTTTCATACTTACATTTAACTTCTCCTTGTTTCTAGATCCTTTTGCAAGGCGATTAGCATAGCGTGCTCGAACAATAGCTTGCATTCTGACAATAGCTTGGACACATCGCAGAGTTCCGACAGCATGCCTGCGAACTAAATGTCCACGTACAGCAGCTTGCAATTTAGTTATATGCTTTTGCTTCAGTTGAGCTCTTCTTGCCTGGGAGAAGAAACCATCAAATACAAAATTAACTTTCTAATTTGCCAAAAGCTTTAACCATTAAATGGTCAAGACAATGGAAAGAAGAGAAGACAAAATTAAGGTACCAGAAATGCTCTGACTGCAGTCTGAATAACAATAACAACATGCTCATCTGGAGTGACATCAGCTTTACCATCATTGACTCTAGATGTTACTGGCTCTGATAGTGTTGCATCCACCACGGATAAGGGTATGGGTTTCTCATCTGTTGAGACACGGGGCTTCTTGTCTAATGAGATGCGTGGCTTCTCATTTTTTTCGGAAACCAGGGGCTTCTCGTCATCAGAAACCAGGGGCTTCTCGTCTTCGGAAACCTGAGGCTTTTCGTCTTCGGAAACCGGGGGCTTTTCGTCTTCGGAGACCAAGGACTTCTCATCTTTGGAGACCGGGGTCTTCTCGTCCTCCAAGATCTGGGGATTCTCGGCTGTCGACACCTGGGGCTCCTCGTCCGCCAAGATCTGGGGCTTCTCGTCTGTGCAGACCTTGGGCTTCTCAGCTGTTGAGAACTGGGGTTTCTCATCTGCCCATTGGATGACAGATGCCTTCTCTGGAATGGTAGAGTTAGATTGCGTTTGCAGATTGGCATTTGCAGATTCTGGCCAGTCCTTGTTCCCAGATGGTGTTTCTGAAACTACGGTATGGCTTAATACACGATGCCTGGCTGATTTCTTGCGGAAACTCCATCCACGCTTGTCGCTTGAGCTCTTACTCTACAAAAATGTCTCAAATAATTCATCCACAAATAAAGAACATGGCAAAAGTTAAATTCTGCAAAGTTATTTGGTTAAGAGTTGCGCAAGATATTTAACTGAACATCCATAATGATCTGAAATCGTCTTGCAAGTATCAGGAGTTTAGCACTCCCACATTCTGTCAATATGTCTCTTTACCAATAAAGTATAGATAGGAAAGGGGAAGCAGTGGAAGTAAATCAGAGTCCCTAATTAGACCATTCTATAGATCAATTGCGACAAGAGAGGGCGATGTGCAGATTGTGGACTAAGCATTTCTGAAATCAAGTTACATACATATGTCAATGAGTCATGATGCATATAGTAAATGATCTGAACACCAATCAAGCTTCAAATACTAAGAAAAATTAATATGTCCAAAGGCCTCAGATAGGAAAATGAATTGACAATGAGATCTTCTTTACCATATGTATTCACTTTTGCAACAGATGATGCTTTTTTTTTTGGCCTTTCTCTTAAAACAACCACCCCGAAAAACTCCCATGCAAAGGCCGTAGATAAGGAATGAAATCATACACAAGGTTGTCATCTTAATCATGTTTCATCACATCTATGTCAGTGAATTAGTACTTGATTTGTGTTTTCCTTACTTAAGCACATCCACCAACTGCACTGGGGGGGGGGGGGGGGGGTAGGTAAGTGC